CAGTGAGCTATGAGACGGTCCAGGGCTCTGCGAAGTCTCCAAAAGGTGATATGGTCTATTTTGAGACAATACAGGGACTTAAAACCGTTGGTGCTAAGACGTGGTACAGTTTTAGTGCCTATGGTGATCACTATCTCATATTAGCAAGTAATAGCAGTGGAAATAAGGGGGGTTACTCTGGGTCATCTTTGTACCGTTGGCAAGGCGTTTTTACAAAAGTACAGGTGAGACATTCAATAAAGAAAATCCGTGAATCGTTGATTTAGGATTGATAGATAAATCCTTTGTTTGTTTGTTTGTTTTTCATTGAATCAATGACTATATGAATGACAGTTTGCGTGATAAATTGATAGATTGATTGATTGACTAGCTGCGATTAATCCAATCATCCACTTTTTCATCAATGCATTTTAGTCAATCACCACCGACGGAGCAGTCAACTGGGACTCAGTCGTTATCAATGACACCACCTACATTGCCGTTGCAAACTACGGAGAAGACGGTCGAACCGAGACAAACTCGAACGTTTATCGATTGGATAGAAATGGTCACGTGGTTTCCATTCAGAACATATCCACGAAAGGTGCTTCGGACGTGAAGTTTTTCAAAGATGGAGGACAAACATATCTCGTCTTTGCAAACAGCAAGAGCAATAACCAGGAAACCGTTCTCAATTCGAAGGTATTTAAAGGGACACTGTCAATGGCGCGCATGCGCGAGTAAACTTGAAAACACTAGGCTAGTGTTTTCAAGTTTATGACTCCAAGTTGGCGCGACATAAATCAGCTCGTAAACGTAAACAGATCTAGAATATTCCAAAATGTGTCAAAAGCACCACAAAATGATTTACCTCGAAGGTAATACTTTCAAAGTCCGTTAGAGGTGATACTGTTACTGCGCATGTCATCCATTGACAGTGTCCCTTTAACCAAGTGATCCTTAATATTCCAGTTTCGAATTCTCTTTTGTGCAAGTGTAGATTCAATCAAGCATATTTTGTTTATTGTCTTCTTTATACACAGAGTGTTTGCATTACAATAGGATCTCAGCTGAATAAAAGAATACTTTACATGCTTTCGAGGTTAAGGCTGCACAAATAAGATCTCGAAACTTGAGTATTTCTCTTTTCATAACACTTAATACTGGTAAAAATTAATTATGCATATAATACCCTAATTTCATTGCTCTATTAGGTTTATCGATGGCAGTCTGGGAGATTTGTCGACCAAAACGCAGACTTTGAGACTCGTGCCGCATCAGGCCTAGCTGTATTCTCCATTAATGGCGACAAGCTGTTAGCCGTGTCCTCCTTTCACAACAAAGTCTCAAATTCGTTCCAAACAAACTCACCCATTTTGAAATGGCAAAGCGGCTCCTTTAAGTCTTATAAGGAAGTTTCTACAAATGGACCAATCGGAGTTCAGTATTTTGAAAATGGTGGAGAACACTACTTAGTGTTTGGTAATGCTAAAGGCCCTGCGACTGTTCACAAATGGAAGACTGATAAATTCGAACTGGTTCAGAGTCTTCCTACGTCAAGTCTTAAGTCTGTGTATGCTTACAATTTCGACAGTAAAGGTAGGGCAATTTTCATTTTAGCGTTATGAACAAACAAGGCCAGGATGTGATACACGCTACGAACGACGTATGTCAAGATTTTATTACAAATGTCTGTCATTATTGCATGTTGATTTGTAGACTTCTCCCCACGTGACTCTTTCCCTCAGAAAATAACGGTGTCCCTGCTAGAAGAATGCGCAGGAGTCCAGCTTATATACTCCCATATTCTAGCAAGCGTGTATAATGTATGATTCACAGAAAAAAACAAAAATCAGACTATAATCAGACTGTTTTCTTTTCCTTTGTAGCTCAACTCTGTACAGTGGATAATGGTGATGAAGTTAAAATCTACACTTGGGATAACAATTTTCAGCTGCAGATGGTAATTACAAATGTTTTCAAACTATACATATTTTCTTAATATGTAAATTCATATCATTAATGGGGAATTTTC